AAATGGTGTTGCCATTTTCTCTTTTAAATGATGGCATTCCAAGTCAGGCATGTTTTTATGTGCACCTCTGAGGACAAAGTTCCTTGGAAGCCAGTGTTACATGTTAAGCAGAGTAAATTTAAACTGATGATAGTCAACAACAGCATGAACAATTAAACTGAACAAATTCAAATATCACTACTTCTAACCTAGACCTTGTTCTCATGGTTGAAAGCTCTAAAAGCCTAGGGTAGATTTACCTAAAGTCATTAAATAAAAATCAATGAAATATTTTATTTTTCATTCATTTATTCAGGTTCAGGTCTATCTAGTAGGCAAAAACAATAGATTGAATCATCCATGGTCTTGCCATTCTGGGATGTGATGTCAATAAGGTCATCTGTCTGACAGGAGTTCTTGACTATTCTGTCTTAACTTATTTGGGGCTGTATTGAGAAGCCAGGACAGAAGGTTATGATGAGTGTTCCTTTTTTTATTCCATCCTCTACCTCTTCCCTTTCTCATTATTTGCAGCAAGTGCAACTGGAAACTTTTGTGACTGTTGCTAACAGGTATGCTTTCCATTTATGGGAAGGGGAAATCCCTATTGCTGAATGGCAGAATGGGTGAAATAGGAATGTAAACCAATTAGAACACAAATCTAAGCTCACACAGGGAGAATGAACCATTGTGGAGAGATCCAAGATGGTGGAATAGAGGAAGTTGCATTCCTGGCTACTCTGTGGCATGAAACCAAGAAAGCAGACAGGCAGTTTCTCCACAATTGAGGTACTGGAAACCTTCAGGGGCATTATAAGTCCACAGGGTAGAGACTGTACTGCCTCAGACCCATACTATTAGATGGGTAAACAGAAATAACATGAAAAGCAAGGGAACAAATCACCCCAAGCAAACCGAGTTGATCCAATATCAGAATCCATTGACACCATAGTGGAAGAAATGTCAGAGAAGGAGTTTAGAATGTACATAGTTAAGCTAATCTGTGAGGTAAAGAATGATGTAAGAGAGCAAATACATTAGCAAAATATCACTTCAATAAAGAGATAGAGATTCTGAAAACAAACAAACAAACAGAAATCCTTGAAATGAAGGAAACAATAAACCAAGTTAAAATTTCAATAGAAAGCATCACCAACAGACTAGACCACTTAGAAAATAGAACCTCAGGCAATGAAGACAACATATATAATCTTGAAAATAGAGTTGACCAAATAGAGAAGATGTTAAGAAACCATGAACAGAATTTCCAAGAATTATGGGATAACATGAAAAGAATAAATTTAAGATTTATCAGGATAGATGAAGACACGGAGATACAAACCAAAGGAACATGAAATCTTTTCAATGAAATAATATCAGATCTAAAGAATGAAATGGAAAATCAAATACAAGAGACTTAAAGGACCCAAAATGTGCAAAATTACAACATACCCATATCAAAGCACATTATAATGAAAATGCCTAGCATACAGAATAAGTATAGAATTTTAAAGGCTGCAAGAGAAAAATATCAGATTACATATAGGAGGAAACCAGTACAGATATCAGCTGATATCTCAACCCAGATCCTTAAAGCTAGGATGTGCTGGAATAACATATACCAAGCTCTGAAAGAAAATGGATACCAACCAAGAATCCTATATACAGCAAAATTAAGCTTCAGATTTGATAACAAAATAAAAACTTCCATGATAAACAAAAATTAACAGAATTTGTAACCAGAAAGCCTGCACTTCAAAATATTGTCAACAAAATATTCCATGAAAATTAAATGAAAAAAGTGGAAACTAACAAAGGGATGAACTACACTAAAGAAACATTCAATCAAAGGAGAAACTAATTCAAATTAAAAACTAGAAATAAACCAAGATGACCAGGAACACAAATTATATCTCAATAATAATATTGAATGTAAATGGATTAAATTCATCCATCAAGAGACATAGATTGTCAGATTGAATGGAAAAACAAGACCCAGTGATATGTTATCTCCAAGATACTCACCTCATAGGCAAAGACATCCATAGACTGAAGGTGAAAGGATGGGGAAAAAACATATCACTCACACGGACCATTGTGATAGTCCCTCTTTTGAAATTGAATGCTGTTGTTACAGATATCCTCTTTCCCTTAGTTTCAGGTCCCTCTAACCATACTTTTTTTGTGTGTATGTGGAGTGTGTATGTGTGTGTGTGTGTGTGTGTGTGTGTGTTAATGTAATATGTGGAGTAGACAAGATAATCCTGAAGAGAAGGCTTCAAGTTTTAGTTATCTTAAGGAGATGCTGTCAATAAACTCTTACCAGGGGTCAATCTGAGAACACAAAGGGCAGTACAGCCTGGCCAGCTGAAAACCCAATGTGATGGGTCAATTGAGAGGTGGGGATGTTACTTTTAAAAGTTTCAATCTTTGCTTTTGGCTGTAGGTAGATGAAGGTCTCTTTCCCAGAAGGCTCTGTGCCTTTCAAAACAACACTAGCCTTTTCTCTGCTTTCAGGGGCTTGCTGCCCTGTGGATTTTTTTACTCATTTGTTTTACTAGTATTGATTTTATGCTGTACTTTGTATCCTTCACTTATTGTCATAACCTATCAAAAACTACAAAGTAGTCAGGCTCTTGCAGAAATCTTAAGGCAATTAAATGGGGGCATCCAAGAAGGTCAGGAGGGGGAATTAGTGAAAACCTCAAAAGGGACCTCAGTGTGTGCTAGGCAACTAAGTGTGAATGCCTTGGTGGCAGTATCTATCATCCATTTATTATGTATTTCTACAAAGCTTGTTGAGGGAGGGTGGTGAAGGGAGATCATCAAAATACAACTCAGGAGACAAGTGTTGATTTAAACTCTGATTGCAGTTGTCTCTGTTATCTGAGGACAAAATTTGGGGTCTGAACAACTGGAAGATTGGAAAACCTATTAACAAAAGTGGGGAAACTCCTCATAGATGGAGTAGGAAGATTTGGGCTGAAGATCCATTTTGGTATGTTGAAATTTAACATTCAAGTAGAGATATCAAAGTAACCATTTGACTATGTGAGTCTGAAATATAGGAGAGAGGTCTGAGCTATAATAAATCTGGTTTAGCTTATACAGCTATGATACCAATAGATATCACCAAGGGAGAGAATGTAGAGATAGGGAAGAAGACCAAGGACTGAACTTTGTGCCATTTTAGTGTTAAGAGGTCAGAGAAATTAAGGACCAAGATACAGGCAAAAAAAAAAAAAAAGTCTTCATGCTAAATTTGGTCCCTGGACTAGACCAAGAGTTAAGAATTTTTTGTTGGAGTTTAGAACCAGGAAGGATCATAGGGCACATCTTCTCCAGTCAAGAATACTAAATTCAGAAATAGAAACCCTTGTTTCTAGTCCTGGTTTTATGCTTAGATGAATGGACTTGACAGGTCACTTGACTTCTTTAGATCTCACTTTTCTACTATAAAGTAAGATAGCTAGACCAGGTAACTTGTAGTATTTAGATAGTCATAATTCTGTATCTTCATTTTACTGAGAAAGAAACTGAAACCCTGAGAGAGGTGATAAATGACTTTCTCAAAGATCCCGACATTAGAAACAGACGAAAAGCCAGTGTTTCATCTTCCATTTGCTGGTTTTAAACCCCATTTGTATGTTAGAATGTGTAGGAAGATTTTAATAACAATGACTACTGGACCTCAAACTTAAAGTATCTCATTTTGTTGGTCTGTGGTGGGTTTGGTATTGGTATTTTTAATACTCTTGGGTAATTTTAATTTGAAGCCAGAGTTAAAAACCCTCTGTTCCACATTAACAAGTTGTGGCACTGTCTTGCTAGCCTCTACACCTCTCTGCGTTTTGATTGCATTTCCAACATATGAATTATTTCTTCAACTTTAAATACCCCCATTTTTTTTTCCAAATGAAGTTTGTTACAGGAGGTTTGCTTTCTAAGCCTTTCAAAACAGAAGTAGCAAGTATCAGTTTTCTCTGACGCTTGGTGAGATGACATGACCATAACTTTCTTGAACTCCACTTAGAAGAGAAATGTTATGGAAAACCACAAAGCCATGGTCCTATGTGGTGGAGGAGGAGAGAGGACAGAAATGGGAGGGCTTGTATGTATTTTCTCTCATATACTTTGGGAAAAAAGGTACAAGGTTTATTCCAAAAATAAACTTAACAAGGTTAAAAAGCAGTACATCAGGCATTGTACATGAATATTATGGCTTTTACCATATTTATTTAGCAGATAAATTCATGTAATATACTATAGCACCCTTACCACTTTTACATGGCTTCTTACCAAGACTTTGCCACTTTGCACACCAATAGAATATAAGGTTTCTTGACTAAAATCAGCATTTTCTATACATTTGGCCCTGTGACTGTGTATGTAGATATGTGTTTAAAACTGGATTCCATTCGATCCCCAGTACCACAAAACCAAACCAAACCAAACCAAACAAAAACTGGATTCCAAGTTCACTTTCTCTGGGGAGCATGTGCCTAGGAGATCAGCTAGTTTAAACTAAGATGGGGCACAGGCATGGACTGTGGAGACACATTGTATACAGTCTTTACACACACACACACACACACACACACACCTATCAGTGTAGTAGCACCAGCACAATGATTTTTTCATGCATAATGCACCAGTAATTAACCTGGTAAATTTCCTTTGAACTCCCCTTGTCTATTTCATGCTTGTTTTTTTAGTGCCCTTTATAACCCTAAATCACTTTCTTAGTTTAGAAGCATAAAAATATATTGTGTATGACTTGGTTTGCTCATAAAATTGTCATATTTGATATATTTAAAGATATGAAGGCCTGGGGGAGAAAAACAGAAAAATTCAGGGGAGAAAGCAAGCAAGTCCTCAGAAACAATTTTTTCCCTCTGGGTCTTCATAGCTCTACTCCACTCAGACGTGCAGCTCATAATAATGAACACAGGCTTGGAATATACACTGAGATCGCTCTAGGGCGACTAGGGCTCAAGATAATTGTAATTTTTTAAAAATAGGTTTCACTGTTGTTTAGAACTTTTATCGCACAAGCCATGAATAATGCTATGAAAGAAAATGGACAGGCTAGTGCTGCCAGCCTGGCTCAGCATTCCAAATACATGCAGTTCTATGGATTCAACCAATTGATAAGGAGAGATTCAAGTGGAAATGGAATTTCAGAATATGTAATCCTGGATCCAAGCTGGAAAGAGTGAGAGCTCCATGGTACCTACAGTACGGACATGGAAATGGAGCTGCTACAGTTCAGAGGGACACCTATTCACTTCCCTGGTGGCAGGTCCCCTAGAGCAGATGCAGAATGCTGGTTTGCGGAAGGGAAGATCTGCCGAGGAGGTAAGGAATGGCAAATCACTAGTAGTCAATTTAATTCAGCTTGGTTTACCAGGGAACCTCTTTAGGACACGACATATTTTAATATTGAAACAATCATAAAGTCAGTCATTTGCATTTGGGTAACATCAATGTCTTGGCATTTGATCTAATTTAAATAATAAGAACTGGAGGAGGTACTTTCCAGACTTGAAAAATTATCCATGATTTAAATGCCTCCCCACCATTCATTTTTAAAAGGTTCTCACTCTTTCCCAAAGAGGTTATTCTAATAAGAGGAAGACATTTTACTTCTCATTGGTCTTTGATAGTCTGTGACCTGTGATTGTTTCTTCAGCTGAAAGATCACCTCTCTCTCTCCCCTGATGTATTCAAGTCTTGCCAATCAGGTCCTACCACAGAAATACACCCCCTCCTCTTTGAACTCCTATTGCACTAAAAGTTTCCACCTTACATCTTAGTAGAAAATTACTTTTCAGTTGTTTCTTGTGTATGATGGTTTCCCCACTTCCCAAATATACTGTACCTTGAGGGCAGGGACCATAGCTAATAATCCTTATTCCCCCCTGCAACTGGCCAACACAGTAGGCATCCAGTTAATACTTGCAGTTTGATTGACTGGTAGGATTCCTCTTGTTTGTGGAAGAGGGGAAACATCATCAAATCTCTGACAGCCAGAGGGGAACTTTGAAAGGACCCATATTACTCTTAGACAAGTGTTCCTTACACCCTTCCAAAACCAAACACATCTATTTCAAATGGGCTTTGATTCCTATTTTGCTTTAGCATGACATACCAAACGACCTCTTCACTCACATCATCATGTATTTCCCTCTGAAATCCAAAAATTTGTTCAAATACTTAGATTTTACAGAGACCAATTTACATCCTGATAAATGCACTAATCGTCAAAACCAGGCTCACTCTCACCCTTGAAAGATGAGTATTACATTTTTCATATGTAACCTATGAGGTCTGTGGGATCAGTTGAATTAAAAAGATCTTTTATTTTATGAAGCAACGTAATGCTTACCCTTCGCAGGTGAGATAGCATATTTATTCTCAAGAACTCTATTTCACTCCAACTTAAATTAAGGTACTCAAAGTTTTCCATTCGTGGACTTTTTCCTCCAAAGAAACACTCTGGTCACCCTTAATTCATGTGATTTGTTATTGTCAGAGTGGTGAGTGGTTTTGCTTCAGAACAGTGAAATTGCTTTCTGTGTCCATAAAGTCAACAAGACAGACTGTGCTGTAGAAAAATGGAATTAGGTTAGGTAGATGTGGCTTGACTTTAGAGTCACCAGAAAGCATGAAGAGTCACTCTGCAGTACTCTTTATTTACTGCCCTTTTCTGGTAATGTCATTCTTCCTCTTCCTCTCATTCTCTGCAGGCATTGACCCTGCCTTTGCCATGATGGTCTACATTACTTTGCTTATAGCCCTGCTGTCTATTAATGGATGTGCTTACTTTATAAGGTACATTTTTTGTTCTTTTTGTATACACAAAACACAAGCCCATAATAGCCTTGTTAATATTGATTTCCAGGAAGTCATGTTTCAGTACAATTGCCTCATTACATGACCCACTGATTTTCTTTTTTCCATAGTGATTTACCATCCCTACCAGCCCCATTTGGAGTGAAGTATTTTCATGATGCCAAGAATAACTTCCTCAGCTGTGTTGTCAGTGTTGTTGACTGTGAGTAGATCTGGCTCTGAACACAATGGTTAAATGAAAAAAAAAAAAAAACCCAAAAAACCTTTAGGGTCTGTCTACTCTCTATCTATCCTCCTTTCCCCTCAGCAGTGTCTCCTATAAGTATCTCCTTCCCTGAATGGTATAGTAGGAAATGCAGTTGGCTACAATTCAAGCTTTAGGAATCATGGATTGTAGTGGGGATTAAATAAAATTAAGTAAGTTAAACACTTAGAAAAGTAACTGGCTTATAGTAGGTGCCTAAAAAAATGACAAGTTTAGACCCCTTCCCAGGGACACAGGACTCTTTTGCTAATTGTTGGAAGCCTAGGTGTCTCACTTTGATATCCATACTTTTTGCCCAGGCAATCCATATCTCTGTTCTTTGTTTCCCTGGAGCAAGAGATATCCAGTCTAATCACCAATATCATCTTTATCAAGTCCTTGTCTGCCTCCCTCAGGTCCTTAGTAGGTGACCAACTAATCCGATGTACTACTTCAAGATCGAGGATAAGTGGCTGAAGATTGCTTAACATGGTATCCCTTTCTTCTGATACTTGCATTTTTAACAGTTGGACCCTCTCCATACTAGGATATTTTGGGGAAAGTGAAAAATGAAATCAATCACAAACCCCCCACTTTACCCCTTCCACCCTGCAAACCATACATCTATCACCTCTTTGTAAGGGTAGACCTGACAAAACTATTACATGGACTAGTAGGGAATGGAGTGGAGGTGTAAATGTCTAGAATGTATGAAATAGCTGTGTGACCTTGAACAAACCACTTAACCTCACTTGGCCAGAATTTTCTCATTTGCACTGTGAAGGAATTTGATTAGATGATGTTTAAGAGCCTTTCAAGCTCTGATATTTTAATGAGTCTGTGAAATCCTGGATTAAAAAGATAGCAGGTGTTACTCTTAGTGTTTAATGTTGTTATCACTATGAAAACTATTATTGTCCAATCTTCCTAGTATTAGAAAATTGATAAGAATAAGGGATGCTTATGGATTGTTGAAATGCACTTGATAAAGACATTAGTTCAAAGGAAGTTTTTCTTCTAGTTTCTGTGACTGTGATATATCCCTGCTAAGAAGAGAGATTTAATATCTTTAATTTAGCTGCTGCCAAAGAATAAAGTATTTAATTAACATCCTTGGATACTTAGCAAAAATAAATGGCATCCATTCAAAAAGCTTCCCCCTCTAGAGAGATTTGAGGAGTAACAGACTCTGTCTGCCCAATGCCAAAACATCCCATGGCAAGGTGGAAAATGGAGTCACACTCAGCTGCCTATATTACTTGTCAATCCCCTAAATGATACTTCTCGTTGGTGTTTCCCACTGAATGGACTGGTTCTTTGGGCTTTGAGTGAGCACAGCCTGCAATTCTTGGGAATGGAAGGAAAAAAAGAAAAAAGAAATAAACTACAGGGGTGGGGGGTTTGTTTGGAGCTTGGGGGCTGAAGGGCAAAGAAGACTGGAGAGGAAAATGATTGGAGAGGGACATGATTAGAGAGAAAAATGATTGGAGAGGAAAATGAGTTAGAGACAATTGGTACTTCAAGTGGTCACAGAAAACTCAGAGATGGGAGAGAGGCACATCATTTCCCAGAGTCACTTGGTCCTTGGTTCTTCAGCTAACAAAGCACAAAAGATGCCCCCTCTTTGCTGCCTTCCTCTCTCTCTCTCTGCCCACCACGGCTGCAATCAGAAGAGCTGAGCGACTGATGAGTTTCTGTAATAGACGGTGATTACTTGCAGGAGAGTGACTCTCTGTTCCTTCCTTTTCTGTGTGTTTTGATTGTTTAAGTTTTTTTTCAGAAAGAAAGACGTGCAAAGAACCCAGCCACCCCAAAACAAAGGGTTCTTTGAACTCCTCTTTTTCCCTCTGCTACTCCAAAGCAGATTGCATTGCTTTTCTATAAAGCTCTTCCATGCTTTGTAATACTAATGATGATAATGATAATAATGAGCCCTTATACTTTCATAGTGCTTCACGCTTTTCAGAGCACTTTCACATACATTATCTCATTTGATTTTCAAAACAACTCTATAAAGCGTGTAATGCAAGGACTATTATCCTGCCAGATAGGAGACACTGAGGCATGAAGAGGTTAAATTATTTATCCAAGGTGACCTGCACCTGGCTAGTTAATGACAGAATCTGCACTGCCTCCACCCCACCCCCAGGTCTCTGGATTGGGAGTCCAATTCACTTTCTATGAGAGTGTATTCTGTAGTGTGATTATTTTTACAGGTGTGCCCGCTTTGAGACAATTCACTATGCATATGAAACAGAAAAGTTAGAGAGTGATGTTTTACTTTGCCAAAAGATTCATGTGCTCTACCCAAGAATTCACTACAGGGCTCTTTTAATTTTCTCCACAGGACAGCAGCTCCCACCGTGATAAGGAACATATTTGTTGGCAGACAATTAGAAACACATTAATTGTTTGTTTACAAACCAGTGAAGTCACTGAGAAAAACCAAAACCCGACTAGGTTGCCAGTACTTAAAGCTACAGTGACATCACAGACTTTTTAGAGCAACTTGACCAAACGTTCTGATTCAGTGGTTGTTTTCCCCACTCTGGCTCTTGGCTTTAATAAATTGCACCGAGTGACCATTATGGGGTTATGGAAAAAATGAAGCCAAAATGAGGCTGTCAGAGTCCCCAGCACAAAACAGAACAAAACAACCACACCAAGTAATCCAGTGTTCCCTCCAGGTCCTGGTCAGACCTACCTGACTGTGTGGATAGACATCATAAACTCTATGTGTCTGGTAATTGATTCGTAGAAAATAATTACATTCACTGCAAATTAATGGGCATGTTTGGAGAGAATCATGTTTAAATTGTGTCTATGTAATGCTCAGACAAGAGACCAATTCAGTAAGAGGGGGGAAAAAAAAAACTCCAGTCAGCCTACTTGTTTGGAATCATGTAGACAAAGCAAACAAATGATTGAATTTTTCTACTTTTCAACCTGTTGCTTTGGCAACGCATTGATGCAACTTTGCAAGACAAGTGGTCTTATGGGCAGAATTCTGGGCCCACAGCCAGGGACCAAGGATTCAAGTTCCAGCTTTGCCTAAGGCTAGGGATCTCACACAATTTGCTTAATTTTGTTTTGTTTCCTTAATGTGTTTTTGTGTATAAAATGGAGATTAATGATTCTTGGCCCTGATATTATTAAGATAAATACAATGAGAAAGTGTGTCAAGGTTTTTAAAAAGTATTCAGTGGTGTTGTTTTGAATGCGCCCTTGATGTGGGTCACCATTTTATTAGTTTGAGATACAATCCCTAAGTAGTCCCCTCACCCTTCTCTTTTGATGCCTCTTCAAGAGCATTTTAATTTTTCTGTTTTGGTCTTTGTTACTCTGTGAGTTGTGAGGGCTGGGGTTATTGCCTCCCTTTGCTAGGGGTATTATGGTAAAGATCCATGTGTGGTTTTCTTTCCAGTTATCTTGTACAACATTTAACTGGCATCTTAGGGCAAATCAACCCTGGCATTGCAAAAACATCCATTCCCCTGTGACCCTCTGATTTCATGTTTGTTTTAGGCATCATATCAATAAAATTCAGTTGATTAAAGGACCCAGCAGAATACTACTGACTCTGGAGGATGTAACATTTATTAATCCCCACTTTGAGCACTTGACATATGCCTAGTATGGCTTGTGATGTTCTTTAAGAATAAAATACACACTGGATTTAGAAGACTTCTTATACAAATGTGAAATATCTCATTAAATTAAAATGATTAGATATCAAAATAATATTTTAAATATATTGGGTTAAAGTACATTGTTAAAATTAAGTTCACCTGCTTCTTTTTATATTTTTTAATGTGATTGATAAAATACACAAACTTACAAATGTGGCATGGAATACTATGCAGCCACAAAAAGAATTAAATTCTATCATGTGCAGCAAAATGAACAGAACTAGAGGACATTATGTTAAGTGAAATAAACCGGGCACAGCAAGGCAAATACTGCATGATCTCACTCATATGTGGAAGGTGAAAAAAGTTTATTTAATAGAAGTAGTGAGTAGAAGAGTGATCACTAGAAGCTAGGAAGGGTAGGGGGGAAGAGGAATAGATAGGAAGAATAAGTTCAAGCATTCTACAGCATAGTGGGGTGGCTATAATTTACAACAACTTCTTATTATATATTTTATAAAGAATCAAAAGAAAGGAGTTTGAAGTTTCCCAATATAAGGAAATGGTAGATGTTTAAGGATATGGAAATACTAAGTACCTTAGTTTTGTCATTTCACATTGTATACACACATCAAATGATCACACTGTGCTACATAGATGTATATAATCAATGTCCATTAAAATTACTATTGTCCCTCATATTACATTTCAATTGGACAGTGCTGAAAGAACAGTGTGGTGGAAATAAATGCACTGCACTTTGGTCAATAGATTAGCTTTGACTTCATATAGAAATTTTTTTGTATCTTTGGATTCAACATTTGAATTTTAGTTCCTCAAGAGCAGTGGTATTTTAAAATGATAGCCTATAGCACCTGACATGGTGCTTATAATGTAGCAGGCACTTGTAAAAGTTTGGTGAATGAATCAACTAGTAAAAAAAAAAGGACTGAATTTCACCAAGATTTCTAGTTGTGATTATGTTGTAATAGGTGATCTTTATTAAGGGTCTGCTACTATGTCCTAGCCCTGGGCTAGGCTTTATGAGAGATAACATGTAATCCTTGCCTTCAAGGGAATTATACTTAAGTTAGAGAGACAAATCATAGTACAGAAGAAAGTTAATAGGCCCCATATTGCAAAAAAGAAATCCAAAAAGGCAGAAGGACTCAGAGGGAGGCAAACCAGTGAAGGGAGGCTTTTCAGAAGCCCAAAACCAAGGCTAAGTAGTGAAGAAAGAAGGATAGAATTTGTCCAGGTAACAGATTACGAACTGGTTTTTACTTTTGTTTGACCCTCATGATTATTTTAAAAAAGCATCCAGAATTTTAAAATTACACATAAAAAATCTGTATCTCTGGGTTTTCTTTAAAACTTGGGTTGTAAATATCGGTGCTCTATTGAACAAGGGTGATGATAAATAACAATATTGAAGCATATAATCCAAAATAGGTATAAAAGTGGATTTTGAATGTTCTCATTAGAAAGAAATGATCAATGTTTGAGATACGTTAAGTATTCTGAGTTGATCATTAGACAATGTATAACTGTACCAAGACATCACACTGTACCCCATAAAGATATACAATTATTGTCTGTCAATAATTTTTTTTAAAGTTGAAAGATCTGTCAACCTTGTGTCTCATGACAACTGCCTGAAATGTGGTAGTAGTTGATAGTTTTAAAAAATCAGTCAATATTTTCTATACAAAATCTACTTTCACTGATTTTTTTTTAAATCTTCCTGGCTTCTATAGGCATCTTAGGAAGAGAAAACAAAAGCTTAGAGAAAAAATATGTGGGGAGGGGTTTTGCTGAAGATTGCTAGTGTGTCTCTTTATGACAGTCTATGTGGCTGCACTAGTCTTTATAAATTCTAGTATGGTGGTAGCAGGATGTAGGGAGAGGGTATGAACACATCAAATTGTCTCCATGTGCCATTTACTATTCCTACAGCACAGTACCATGTTTCAGAATTAATTTATCTCAGTTACCAAACTGGTCATTCACTTAAATGTGACACTGAAAGGTATATTTAATCAGTTGTGTGTGAGAATGGATTATACAATAGTATCCTGTGAAGTTGGAGTCAAACGAATTGTTTAGCTATTTGATTTAGTTCTCATTTACAACCCTAACTCTTGCTTGTTTAAATCATCAGATGCTTTTGTAAGGTTGATATTGTGTTCCTTAAAATGTATTGCTGAAAGCCAAAACTATCTCTGTGGCGGAAAGCTACACTTCACCCTTATGCCATAAAATCTCATTGATATTAGGCTCCCTTTCTAAACCCGCCAGAGGACACTAGGACTCAGAGTGGTGGATGGGTTTGTATGAAATTGTCTTATATGAAATTCCCTATCTCAACTGGTAGGAAGTGTAGATGCTGAAGTACAAGCTTGGAAACAATTGCAGTGTATAACTCAGTATACTAAGAAAAAACTTTCTGATTTCATGGCAAGATATTTTATCTAGAAATGGATGATCAGCAGTATAAGTCATTGTCCAAATGTAGCAAAATATAGTTAAGTTTTGGTCAAAAGAAATAAACCTATTTTTAAAATCCCTACTTCTTTGGGGTTATTCACAACAAAATGATAGTTCACGTCAGTTGCCTAGATATTTGACTGTAAGGTGTCAAAACAATAAACACAGCTCAAAAATTTTGGTCTGACTTAGCCTTTTTCCTTGTACAGCCCTTTCAATAGTTTAGTGAAATCTATAAAACCTCCATCTATATCTTCTCTTTTGCACTAACACATAAACTATATTTGGGTGACTAAAGTATACCTGTTCTTGCTAAATTACCATAAATAGCCAAGTAGTGTTACCTTCAGATTAACAGAGTGCGTGGGGTTTTAAAATCTTGCTTATGTTGATAGATTTTTTCTTTTTCACCTATGTATCAACTTTGACATAATGAGAATAAAAAAAAATCATCACCACTTTTCTCTATACAAGTGAGAAAAAAAATGAATAGCAAGGAGGATTGATAGCCTTACAGGGAATGTTTTTGTTTATTTGCTTGTTTTATTATTTTGGCACAGGTGGGAAAGGATGGCATTACCCTAGAAGAACATAGCTCTTGGCTTCCAGATCCCTTTTGGCATTTGGCTTGTATCAGGGATTCTGATGGGAAAAGATAGGGGAAGCATACATTTTCCTTAATTGCTGTGTAGTCACAAACTTGCAGCTGGCTGAGTCTAATCAGTCAAGAAGCCAAGCCAAGAATTCCATCCAAAAGGAATGTCTGAAAGTGTAAACTCTTGGAGAATATAAAATTAATTCAGTCTAGAAAAATTGGCAGGTTGGGAGAAATCAGGTTAGAAAAGGAAGTTTTTTAGGGGAAAGTGAAGTTGAAGTCCAAATGTATGTGGATTTTGGCAGATTTGATAGCACTTTCTCCTTTGCCCTTCATGAAGAGGTCTATGTCTCCATATACAAATCTAGGTGTTCCTGCTGAGATATGAAAATAAAGAAAGAAAGGGATGTAGATTCCTCCCTGGGCTTGCTCTGTTGGGGAGAGTTCAGGTTAATGCAAGGGTTATGTGAAGAGTCAAGTTTTACATCTTGTAGGGATTGAGTATAGTTTACCATTCATTGTCTTGGAACTTTGAATGTGATGATCTTGTACAGAAGGAGCTTAACTCGACTGAGTCAACTAGTGATCTTCAGTTGATCAAAGACCATTAATGGCAGAGTGTTAGAAAGTACTTAAGATTGATTATTATTGGCAAACAAGAGTGATATAGACCATGATGTAGAAAAACACAAGATCAGGAAATATAACACAAAGAATCCTGTTCCAGCCACTATAGCCCTTTCTAGATCTCTATTTTTTTTTTCATTTTCAAAATGAGGGTGTTGGAGTTGGAAGTGGGACTGGCATAAACAATAATAAATAGAACTGCTAATTCTGGATTGCTATAATTTTAAGAAAGATGCATTTGAAGATATGGAGAAAATATTGAGAAACCTGTTGGTTTATTATGCCTTCGAAATGTAAAATAAGTCTACTGCTTTAGTGAAGATATAGAAGTTCAATTTTAAAGGTTAACACAGATTGTAGATACCTTTTTATCTTGTCATTCAACTGTGAAGTTCCCAGCCCTCTTTTACCAGACTTAATTGTAAAAGTTAACAAGTCAAGGAGTGGAGAATCTGGCCTATTTACGACTCAAACCCATAAGTCACGAGTCTACTCTCTACCATTTTACTCCTTTCAGGGATTCCTTCTGTCATTAATCTTAAATACACAAAGAAGGATGCTGTTATGATTTGGATGTGAAGTATCCCCCAAAAGCTCAGGTATGACATAATGCAAGAAGGTTCAGAGGAGAAATGATTGGGTTGAGAGTTTTACCCAATCAGTGAATTAATCCCCTGATAAGGATTAACTGAGTGGTAACTGAAGTAGTAGGGTGTGACTGGAGGAGGTGCAAATTGGGGCTTGGCTTGCCGGTATGTATTTGTATCTGGGGGGTGGAGTTTCTCTCTCTCTTCTATCTGATCATCATGTGAGCCGCTTCCCTCTGCCACACTCTTCCTCCACAATGTTCAGCCTTACCTTGAGCCCCAAGGAATGGAGCCATCCTTCTGTGGACAAAGTCCTCTGAAACTGTGAGCCCTCAAATAAACTTTTCCTCCTCTACAATATTTCTGGTTGGGTCTTTTAGTCACAGTGGCAAAAAAGCTGAGAAACTGATATGATTCAGTATAATGTAAAACAAAGAGGCAGTCCTGAGGGTCATACGGGTGGGATACTGTTCTAGTTCTGGTATTTTTTATTTTTCAAATGTTAGATTTTTATAAAAAAACACTTTTATAACTTAATTATGGACTATATATAATAACTCACTTCAACTTTAATTTGGTTTCAGTTTCTTGTCTATAAAATTAGGGTCCTGGATTAAATTCTGACTGGTATTACTTATTGTCCCTCCTGTCTATGATTCAAATTCTCTCTGGGAGAAAGAAGTGCATGAAAACCATTTTTTGGGGGTAATATATGGAGTTTATGCAAGGTGCCAATGATGAACTAAAAAAAGTTTTGAATGTTAGGGAATATTAATCAATCCCATATCTACAGGTTTTAATTCATATGGCTTCTTTCTTATGAATAAAAAAGAAAAGAAAAACAAATAAGCAGAGTATCTATACCATAGCTCAGTGTTCTGTCTTAAAAATCATGAGAATTTTGTTCATAACCTTTCTTTCCTAATGTTTTCACAAAGAGGAAGTCGTGCCAGTGTAAGCTTCCAGATCATCTCAGAGGTTCAAAGTGGGAGGTCCCCAGGGCTCTCATTTTCTTTAGGGAGTCTAGTTCCAGGTACCTATGAAGACTCCAAAGTAGCAATTTATGAAGTAGGACACCCAACAGCTATCTCATCTGCTGCCTTCTGGAGTTTTAAAATGGGGTAGTGATTTAGTTGTTAGTCTTTGAGTAAGAATATTGAGGCTTTGGCAATTTGTTTCAAAATTTTTTTTTGCCTGTGTCCACTTACAGACTTGATTGGTTAACACTTTTTTACATATTTTTAGTGCAGATGGACACAATATCTTTATTAATTTATTTTTATGTGGTACTTAGGATTGAACCCAGGGCCTCAAATGTGTGAAGCAAGTGCTCTACCACTGAATTACAGCCCCAGCCCCATTGGTTAACATTTTTGACAATGATTTTCCTCAGCAACTAATCTCCTTACTTATAACTTCATTTACACTTTAACTCTTGCATTTAATGTACATGTGGAAAAAGTATTTGAGACCCTATTTCAATGTTTTGTCTAGACATCGGGGACAACAAGACAATATGCAATAGAATAAATCAAAGACTAATAATAGAATAATAATAGAAGAAATAACTTCCTATGCTAACTCTTCGGGATGAGTTGTCTAGAGACATGTTTGTGCAGAGCAGAGCCTATTCTACTACTTTTCTTCAAATTCTAGTTGATCTTCCTGCACTTCTTATCCTCTGATATTATTAAAACTTTGAAAATATTCATTTATTTCTTTTTCTTAGACTATGCTGCCTCTTTGAGTAATAGGTTACCTTCTGTTGGATAAAAGATAAATCCTTTTTTATTTCACTGAAGTTTCTCTCTTTCAAAATTTAAGAGGCTCTTCTCTCTCCCAAGTTCTAAGATACTAGAATTTGGCAATCATAACAAATCATTCATCAGTTGAAGAGATGAACTATTTCTTCTCAGCAGGAGAGAGTTAAGTAGGTGGTAAAGGGAAATGAGACTGTCCTGCTGTCCTTCCTAAGTGAGGCCTTTCCAGTGTGGTTTCCTTGTTTTGTTTGAAGATACTCCCAAGAGCAGCAAACACCCCCAACTTCAACAGTAATTGCAAAGAAAGTCCATAACAAGAAATGATGATTTTTCAGTTGTCATCTACATTGGATTCTTCAAGAGAATGTTCTCCATAATTCACAGGGCCTTGCTAGGGTTGGGATGTGTTACCTCTAAAATTTAAATGTTGAAATTTAATGGCTAAATGAGATGGTATTAATAGATGGGTTTTTCAAAAATTGATGAGGCCATGAGGGCTCCTCTTTTATGAATGATATTAAAGTTCTTGTAAAAGAGACTTTGTGTAGCATTTGGTTAGCTTTTCTTGCTACCTTCTGCCATGTGAGGACACCATGTTTCTCCACTTTAGAGGATGCAGTAATGAGATGCCGTCTTGGAAGTGAAGAAAAAGTCCTCACTAGATAATCAAACATGCCATAATTTTATTTTGGACATTCCAGCCTCCAGCAATGTGAGGAATAAATTTCTGTTCTTTATATATTATCCAGTCTCCCAAATGGACTAAGACAGGCCCACAACACCAAAATGACATGGCATATGCTTTTTCAATATACCTGAGAGCTTTGGCTTAAATTCATAGCAGGAAGCCTCTGGATCCTAACAGGGAGTTAATTTAATCAAAGAGGACATTTGCCTTAAATGTAAACTTGAATTATTGGAATTGGCAGCTCTACTCTATCAAAGACTATATATAATGTAAGCTTTTGAATGTCAAATGGAATGGGTTGGTGGCTTTATAAATGTATTGACACTTCTATGATTCTGAAGTCAATCTCAATAACTTTGGTTTTTAATCTGCAAAATGAGGGGTTAAACTGAGTTCTTAATTCTGACTACTCATTACAATGTCCTTGGGTAACTTAAAAAATATTTATGCCTCGGTTCCCACTCCTAGCAATTCTGATTCATTTGGTATGGAGAAGGGCCCAGGAATTGTTATGTTTTTAAAGTTCTTGATATGTGCAGCTAGGCTTGATAATTGCTGGATTAGAAGACCTCTAAGGCCTCTTCTGGCATGGATATGCTATGATTCTCTGGAAAATTTTATGTGTTCAATTGTGGTATGTTTTATTTGTTGGGGTTGGAAGGTTACAATGTAGAATTGAGAAGGGAAAAATAAACTTTTGTATATAACCAACATTTAAGAATCTGTCAGATATTTCCTTGTTTTGGAAGGAGGCAAAGAGCTGAGTTATTTCCTGGAATGACTGTTGGTCAGTCAGATCATGAGTGTGTGGGGGGTTATCTTTACAAAGGAGAGTTGGTGAAAATAACATCACATAGTGAAATCAAGATTAGGGTGAAGGCAGGGTGTGAAGGAAAACAGCTGAGACTAGAAAACTGCCTGCTAGGGCTAAAGAAGTCTCTAGGAGGGAGCATAGGTCAAATGAATCAACAGATCAAACAAAGAAGTCCAGTGTGTCTTCTGAAATTTTCCCTCATTAGGAGTGCTTCAAATAAGACAAATCATTTAGTTCTGCTTTAAAACATCAAATTTCCATAAGAATTTTTATTGGAAGTTCTGAAATTTCCAGATAATGTACCAGTTAATGTTAGGAGTAGCAGATGTGTAATAATAAAGGACAGGCTTCTCTAGGATGTACCATGACATGATACTATACTGACATAAATTCACAATTTCCTGGTATATACACATGCAGAACTTTCAGAATTACACAGTAGCCTTGACCTTTATTTCACAGATACTGTTTGAAACGTGGAAAGGAAAGCCAGATGATATGACTTCTGGGCAGAAGAAGTTGTGAATAACAGAGGTGGTGGGGACATGTTATGATCTGCTCTAATGGCCATAGACCGGAGAGTGTCAGGTGAGGGGAGAAGGAATATAATCCTGACACTCAGGAAGAGCCCACTGAATTTATCTTCTCTCTTCTTTTTCTTTTTTTTTTAATTTTTTATTGTTGGTTGTTCAAAACATTACAAATTTCTTGATATATCATATTTCACATTTTGATTCAAGTGGATTATGAACTCCCATTTTTACCCCGTATACAGATTGCAGAATCACATCAGTTACACATCCATTGATTTACATATTGCCATACTAGTGTCTGTTGTGTTCTGCTGCCTTTCCTATCTCTCTTCGTTTTCTGACTCTTTCTGCCTCTTTACTTTTCAGCTTCTCCCTACATTTTTCTGTTTCACCTTACTTTCTTCCCATTCATCTCTCTTACCCAGAGCCTTTTTCTGTCTCCTTATTTTCTGCTTTTTAGATCTGTCTCTACCCCTCTCCCTTCCACCAATCATTTTCTCTTTCTCCTCACAGAGTCTTAGATCATCAAAGCTCAAAAGGACCTAAGAAATCACTGAATAAGTCCAGCTCTATAGGTGGGGAAACTGAAGCTCAGGTTGATTAAGTGGCTGTGCTAAGGCCACCCTTGAGTTTGAAGCAGAGCCAGGTCTAGGACCTTGTTCTCTGTTTCTTAGTTAATACGCCATGGCCTTAGTGAAAAACTGATGGACTTTAAATTACTTCTAAAAACTTTAGTGAATAGAGTTTCATGTTTATTGCTCTTAATTAAAAAGTGAGTGATGAGTGAAGTATTTTATCATTCTCTCTTTTAAAAGAACAAAACAAAACAAATAGTGCATGTATGGTGAAGATAAAACCTGCCCATTTACTCCCTTTTCCTCATTATTCATGAAGTAGGATGCACACAGACTCAGTAAAAATTGGCTTATAAAGTTTGTGAGACTTATTGAAATCTTAAATACACACAATTCCTCCAAGCAAAAGGAAGCCCCATAAGGGGAAAGAGCAACAAAGTGAAAGATAGAAGACCTTGGTTCAGTTCTGAATATGTTATTGCCTAGTATTTTGAACTTAGACATATTAGTCTCTTAAGCCTTCAGTTTCTTTATCAACTATGAAGAAATTGGGTTAGGGATACCTAAGACCATTTCCAGCTCTCAAATTTAGTGATTTGGCAGGGAAATGCTATGCTTAGTTACTTGTGGTAGTTAACAATCTGGATAGAATTACAACTTATATCTGCAGTAGGGTTGATGCCAGGGGAAAGGTATCAGGTGCCAGCTATAAGGCAGAATCAGGGCTGCCAGTACTGCTGTTCAGGTTGTGCACTGCATAATGGGCACCACATCTAAGAGCATTCTATTTCCAGTGACAGTATACACTAACTTATATGAGAGTGCTGTAGGAGTAGTCACAGAGATTCTGGCTTCCTAGCTTAGTCCTGGAATGGGGTGAGGTGCAGAGCCTTCTGATATCCAAGTCTATACCAGTGCACCCAAGTATGAATATACACAGTAACTGATAAAAACATGTGTACTTAAATATACACTATTTTTGTACTTGCATAATTGTTTGTACTTGAGAGAAAATGCACATAAAGGTTCCATATTAGTTAATAGTGACAATAGGTTGAGTGACATAAATGTGAATGTACTGAGGTTTTTGGTCTACCAGTTATATCCCATACATTGACTGATTTTATAAAAATCCCAGTTAGAGGTTTATTTTTTCAGCTTAATGTTTAACCTTTGATCCCACTATAGCGTAAAGTCCTCTGAAGGGTAAAATTTTGAGTTTATGTCAGGCCCTCCTGACTCCTGTGAGTGAATTTTTGATCTCCGGTTGAAAGAGATGATGATGAGAAAAGCTTAGAGGTAAATGGGGAGGTGAAGTGAGTACAACAGAGAATGAGGTTCAAAAAAGGCTAGGATGGTAAATCACAAACTTTATTGTGTATCAGAATTACATGGAGGGCTTGAGAAAACACAGATTGCTAGACTCCCCCCCCCCAATTTCTGATTCCAAAAATGGTGGGTAGAACTTAATTATTGACCTTTCTTACCAGTTCCCAGGTGATGCTGATGGAGCTGATCCAAGGTCACATTTGGAGAATTGCTTGATCAAATGTTTTGACTATTCTGCTACAGGTAGGCACTGATCCTGGACTACCATTCTAAACTCTATGAGCAGTAAGTTTGGCTGGTGTAGTTTTCTCCAGCTGCTCAAGGTCTATTGGAGCCATTCCCTTAGTTAAAGGGCTTTGAGCTCCTTGGCTAAAAGATGCTTTCTAACACAAAGTGCAGGCGAGTACTCAGATGCCTGCAGCTCCCATTAGCCTTTGCCTCTGGCAGGTTTCCAGATGCACTGCTACAGCTGGATATATTCCTTAATAAGAGAGTGGTTACACTCTTTTATTCTCAAGATTTGATTGCACAGAGCTCACTGCTTTATTATCTCTACTTGATAACAAGTTGGTGCAGCCAGAAATGGAATCTCCAGGCTATAGGTAATAGATGTGAAAGCACTTGGAAGTTTAAAGAGCATTGTGCAAATGTAAGACATTATTATTATAGAGAAACGGAAATCTCTATTTGTATTGCTTTTTTAAAAAATTCGGGTTGGACAGAACTAAATAGGGTTTGATGACTGAAGCATCCTTGAGACTATGCATGGAAAGAAAATTATCTATCAAACACTGGTGTTACTGCCTTAGAAATAGCAGTTTGTACATTAAGAGTCAAGAATAAATGTACAATCACAAGAATGGGATCCTAATTAGAATAAGTTATACTCCATGTAGGTATAATATGCCAAAATACACTGTACTGTCATGTGTATCTAAAAAGAACAAACAGTAATAAATGCCAATACTTGGCTATGATCATTACACATCATGTACATCATCACACTATACTCCATAGATATGTAAAATTTAAAAAGCAAAATAATTTTGAATGAAAAAGCAAAAATATACTTTCAAAAGAGTCCACATTGCATATATTACTATGATAATACATTTGTGCCTTGGAATAAAAAAAATGTTTAGTCTACATTTAAACCAATCAGTTTGTGATTAAAGCATATGAGCCCCTTAAAATGGCCTGTCCCACAAGAGAAAAATAGATCAAGGTAAATGCAGGAATCATTTGCTGCATTATATCTCCTGCCCTATGTCTCCCACTACAGATGCCTCAAGGCAGTGGGAATTGCAACCACTGACCATCACTATTAATCGCAGAAAACCTGGTGCTACATCACTTAGCTGTGAGTAAGTGAAATAACCTAGCATTTTCCAGTTACGTGAGGTATTGCATAGAGTGGTATCATTCCTTTTCTGGGATCTGCATACCTGCATTTGTTCCCTTGTCTTGAGTTAGCTTGCATTTTTAACTTTTAATTTCTCTTCATAATCTCAATCTAGCTCAGAATACATAATTTCCATGGGGTGGAGGGTGAGAAAGGAGAAAAATGTGTTTGTATTAATAGTATTACTGTAAACCATTCTTGGGAAGGGACATTACTCTAAAGCTGCTGGCAATTATCATCACTACTCTCTACCTTTTTTCTTTCTAGGGTGACTAGATGCGAGGCTGAAAAGTTCCCTCTTGGAGATTTTGGAGACTTTAAGTCCATTAAATCAAATGCAAGTGATGTATTTGAAAAGATATGAGAAACCCTCATTTATATCCTACAATCAGTCCTTTCTCCAAAGTAACTTACACCAGCTGTTTAGGAACATTCTTTAAGAAATCCATGCAGGGAAACTAGGGGTATTACTGGCTTGGTGTGATCATGAGATGCAATGGCAAAATTATAGGCTCTGGAATCAAAGAAACATGAAAGAATCAAATTCCAGCTCTACTGTGTAAGAGCTATGTATTAACTTGGGCAAGTCACCTAAAGCCCCTGAGCCTTAATTTCCTTATTTGTAAAAAAAGCATATTAATGCTTACTTCCTACTTCCTAGGTTCAGATGAGTATGAAACTTCTTGCACATTTTCTGGCACATAGCTTCTTTGTAAAATAATATCTTTTATGAATATTATTAATTAAATATACCATAATTCAGAACTGGAAAAATTAACTGCTAATTTCGTCTTAGAAATAGCTATTTCCCTAATTCCACTTTTTACGTTCAAAGAGCCCTTGGTTAACTTACTTAAGAAAGCAACCTGTAGATAAGACAAGGATGATCCCTTCTAAATAATTTAAAATCTTGACTGCCCCTTAAATTTTGAGTCCATGAGGCACCTGCTATATCTAGAGCACTGTGCATGTGATAAAACAAAGGAAACAGAAGATAGGTGACTCATGGAGGACAGGGTGTACCCTAGGGATTAGGATGAGATCTTGTGATTTGGTATTTCACTTACATGTGATTTTGGTGCCTGGAGCTGAAGGGGAAATAATGAGACATATGCCCTGAAGAGAGACCAAAGTTAGCTAAAATATGCAATTTTATAGTGGTTTGATGACTCAGGATGTCCAACAGAAAGCTATATACAAAATATGGAACCAAAATGGGGCCAAATCTGAGAAAGCTGTAGGCAGTAGATTTCAAACCAGGTTTGAGCATAAGATCGGTTCAGTTTGGTCATCTTAACTCCCTCATATTTCAGTTGATATTGTTGTCCATATTTTAATTCATTTTTAAAAAAGATTTTCCAAATTTGGATTTTTATTTTAGATGTGTTAAATTGACTTAACTTTGTCCATTATATATTTTAATAGGCACTTGATATTGAATACAAGTTTGGAGATCATGAGTTGAGGCATGAATTTTAGAATGATCATGTTTCCTAGCAACTGAAAAAATACAAACAAAAACATTATATTTTTCACTCATGAGTTTGGCAAATCTTTTACAATTAATAATGTCCAGTGTGAATACAGGTATGGGATAAAGAGTGTGCATATGCATTTTGCAAGACTAAGAATTGGTAAAGCCTATTTGGAGGGAAAATTGATAATTTTAATCAAAATTAAAGGTGCATTTGTGGGCTGGGGCTGTCAATCCACTGATTGGCAGAGCACTTGCCTAGCACATTTGGGGCACTGGGTTTGATCCTTAGTATGCATAAAAATAAATAGATAGATAGATAAGGCATACTGTCCATCTACAACAACAATTTTTTTAAAAGTACATTTGTACATTTGTACTGTAACCCAACATTTGCACTTCTAGAACTCTATTCTCTAGTTATACTCTTGCTTGTATGCAAATATAGGTGTATACTTTAGTATACTAAATTTACTTCTTTTGGATAAATACCAAGGAGTGAGTTAGCTGGGTCATATGGCGGTTCCATTACTAGTCTTTTGAAGACCCTCCACACTACATTCCAGAGCAGTTGTACTAATTTGCATTCCCACCAACAATGTATGATTATACCTTTTCCACACATCCTCACTAGCATATATTATTATTTGTATACTTGTTAATTGCCATTCTGACTGGAGGGAGATGAAATTTCCATGTAGTTTTTTTTTTCATTATTTAGAGAATACTTTGTTAGTTTCTGTAATCAAACCCATATAATATGATAAGACCTTATGCATTACCCCTGTACGAATGGAAAAAATAAGTTTAACATTTTTAGATCAATATGACTGTTAAATTCTGTACAATACCAACTCAACACGGTAAACTGGGATACTTTTTCCAAAGTTGACAGCACAGCTAAAGTTTCCAAAAATTCAAAATTATGTGTGTGTGTGTGTGTGTGTATAAACCAATAATAGCAGTATGTTGTGCATCAATAGTAGCAACAGCTTCTCCAGGTTCTGCTGTCATCTGAACAAAATTAAAGGGGGAGGGGGGTGTAAAAAACAAAACCAAAACAAAATCCATGTAGTTTTGATCTGCATTTCCCTGATTGCTAGAGATGTTCAATATTTGATGGCCATTTGTGTTTCTTCTTTTGAGAACTGTCTGTTTAGTTCCTTTGTCTACTTATTGATTGGGTTATTTGTGGGTTTTTTTTTAACCTTAAGTTTTTTGAATTCTTTATATATTCAGGATATTAATTCCTTGTCAGAGGAGCAGCTGGCAAAGATTCTCCCCCATTCTGTAGGCTTTCTCTTTAAGTCTCTTAATCATTTCCTTTGCTGTACAGAAGCTTTTTAATTTGATGGCATCCCACTTATTGATTCTTGGTTTTATGTCTTGATCTTTAGGGATCTTGTTGAGGAAATCAATGCCTGCACCTATACGATGGAGTGTTGATCTTATGTTTTCTTCCAGCAGTTGAAAGTTCGTTTCTTATCTAATACACATTTTGATTTGACTTTTGTGCAGGGTGAGGGATAGGTATCCAATTTCATTTGTCTACATATGGATACAGTTTTCCCAGCACCATTTGCTCCAAATATATATTTGCTTCAACATATATTTTTGGCACTTTTGTCAGGTATCAAAGGGTTGTAAATACGTGGGCTTGTCTTTGTGTCTTCCATTCTATTCCATTGGTCTGCATGTCTACTTTGTTGCCAATGTCATACTTCTTAATTAAAATGGCCCTTAATACTGTCTGATAAGTACATTATACTTCACTGAATAATTTACTTTCTGTAACCCATACTCCAAAGCTGTTTCTTTCTTCTTAAACCTCCAATGTTCTTCTCTTTTCTCTATTTTTTTTACTATTGTCCTGAGTCTAAGCAACTATCTTCTTCCAGCTACCACAACCATTACATTTTCTTTTAATAGACTTTATTCCTTAGTTTTAAGTTCACAGCAAAATTAAGTAGAAAATACAGAGAGTCCATACATATCTCCTGTCCCCACATATTCAGTTTCCCCCATTATCAACAGAGTGGTATGTTTGTTACAATCAATTCATCATAATATCATTATCACTCAAAGTCCATAGTTTACAACAAGATTCACTTTTGGTGATGTATGTTCTGTGGATTTTGACAAAGATATAATGATATGTATTCACCATTATAGCACCATATAAACTAGTTTTACTGCCTTAAAAATTCTCTGTGCTCTATTCATACCTCTCTCCCCACAACCCCTGGCAACCACTGGAAATTGTTTTTTTTTAATTATTCTCTCCGCATTCACTTTTATCACTCTCAAACCCCTTCTACACATTGCAGAGTGCTCTTTTCAAAATGGAATTTGATCATGTCATTCCTTTACTTAACTCTCTTCAATAGATTCCAATTGTTCTCTTCTTTGTGTAGAGACTTTGTTACAGATTGAATGCCTTTACTATTAAAAATGGACTATTCAAAATTTCTCTTTCATCTTATGACTTTAAAGGAATATGTCCATTTCATATAAGTTGTCAAATTTACTGACATAAAGTTTTAGAAAATAAGTATCTTTAGGGTCTTCAGCATTATTCAGCCTTTCATTCCTAATACTGACAATTTATGTTTTCTCTTTTGTTTCTTGGTCATTTTTTTTTAGTGGATAGTCAATTTTATTAATCTTTTCTAAAATTCAGCTTTTGACATTGGTGATTTTTCTTTGTTGTATCCCTAATTCCTGTTTGATTGAGTTGTATTCTTATTATTTCCCCCTTTCTACTTTTTTGTGTTTAATTTGTTGCTCTTTTTCTGTTTTTTTTAATCGGAAGCTTTGACATTAAACTTCTTTATTTTATAATATAGTCACCTGTAACTACAAAATTCCCATTAAGGGCTCTTTCAATCATGCTTTTAAAGCTTTTTATTATTTAAAATTAAAAATATACAGAAAATAAAGAGAATAATACAACAATATCTATGTGCCCACACCAACCTTGAACAATTATCAACATTCTATCATTATTATTTCATTTATACCTCTACCCATTCCTAATTCATTTATTATTATTATTACTTTGTTGAAATGCCCATATCATTTCTCTAACATTATGGTAAAGAAGCACAACAATATAATCTAGATTTCTCTCCTGATATAGAATAGAGATTAGAAAACTGTGGCCCATGGTATATTTTACATTATTAAAAAAAAGAAAGATTTTGTAACAGAAACCACATATGACCTGCAATGCCTAAAATATTAACTGTTTATACCTTTACAGACAAACATGGCTGACTCCTGATATAAAACAATTTCTTCTTTCCAGAAAAGTACCTTGTATACCTTAGTAAATTTATGCCTCCCCCAACCACAGGCAACTTCTGTTTTTCTGTTTGTTTACCTTAAATAAATTTTGCTTGTTCTAAAATCTCATGTAAGTGGAATCATACAACATAAAGACTATGGTATCCATCCATATAATTGCATGTATATGTTGTTCCTTTTCATTGAGTTGTATTCCACTGAATGAATATAGCACAATTTAGTTATTCACTTTCCCACTGATGGGCATTTGGGCTGATTCCAAGTTTGGCTATTGGAAATAAAGGTGATGTGGATATTTTTATACGAATGGTTTTATGAACACATATTTAAATTTCTTTTGGGTAAGTTACTAGAAGTAGAAATTCTAGGCTAAGGGATAGTATATATTTAACTTTAAAACACCATCAAAATTTTTCCCTCTTTTACTTTCCTGAATGTAAGTTAGGAGAGCTTCCTGTGCTTTAAATTACTGGCAATATTTGATATTGTTGGTCTTTTTCTTTTTTTCAATACTGGGTATTGAACCTAGGACTTCATGCTAGGCAATCACTCTACAATTGAACTGTATTCTCAGCCTGTCTTTATT